TTTTTTTTTTTTTTTTTTCCTAGAGACAAGGTCTTGCTCTGTCACCCAGGCTGGCATGCAGTGGTGCCATCATAGCTCACTGCAGCCTCGACTTCCTGGGCTCAAGTGATCCTCCTGTTTCAGCCTCTCGAGTAGCTAGGACTATAGTGTGCACAACCACACCTGATAAACTTTTTTTCTATCAATGAAGCATTTGGAAAAAACTTTCAGATCTTAAGAATAATTTCAACATGATAACCTAGATGAATAATGCTGAATTAAAAACTAACAATTGTCTGTCTTCATAGGAAAGAAACATCACATCATGAACCTGTCCAATTAAAGTTTTACTTAAGAGAGGATATTTTCCTTTGAGCAGAGGTCTCTCAAGCTGCGAAATCATGTTCTAATATACAAGAGGAGGCTAGGCTTGGTGACTCAGCCTGTAATCCCAGTGCTTTGGGAGGCCGAGGTGAGTGGATTGCCTGAGCCCACGGGTTCGAGACCCGCCTGGGCAACTCGGCGAGACCTCATCTCTACAATAAATAAAAAATTAGCTGGGCGTGGTAGCGTGCACCTGTAGTTCCAGCTACTTGGAAGGCTGAGGCGGAAGGATCGCCGGAGCCCAGCAGTCTGGATGACAGAGTGAGACTTCAACTCAAAAAAATACACACACACACACACACACACACACACGAGGAGTATAAAGGCCCTGTGGTGGAAGGAAGGGCTTGTTCAAGGAGCAGGGAAAAGGCCATGTGGCTGGAACAGATTAGACAAGGAAAAGGATGGGGGGACAGAAGGGTGAGGTTCGTGGAGGGTCAGGTCACCCAGGTTCTTTTCTTTCTTTCTTTTTTTTTTTGTGTTGGAGTCTCACTCCATTGTCCAGGCTGGAGTGCAGTGGCATGCTCATGGTCACTCCAGCACTGACCTGCTGGGCTCAGGCAATCCTTCCACCTCAGTCTTCCATGTAGCTGGAACTACAGGTACACACTACCACGCCCGGCTAATTTTTTGATTTATTGTAGAGATGAGGCTTTGCCAAGTCACCCAGGCTGTTCTAGGATTACAGGCTTGAGCCACCATGCCCGGTCAATCCAGGTTCTTAAGAATGAGGGGACAGGAAAGCGAGAGTCACGGAGGGTCATGTCACGTAGGTTCTTGAGGCCTGTAGCTTGAGAGTTTTTGACAGAGCAATTAGAAGAACAAAGGGAAGTTTCAGTGGGGTCAACCTGGCTGCTCCACACAGACTTCAGCAGAATAGAAACAGAGACCAGGTAGGAAGTAATTCCAATAAAACAGGCAGAGAACGGTGGTGTGGACAGGATGATGGGGAGGGGATAGTGACAAGGGACACATCTGTGTACATCCTGGAGACAGTACTCACAGAATTTGCTAGGCAACCAGATGCTGGGTGTGAGACCAGGGGAAGGGGCACTGTCCCAGCAGCTGGAAAAACAGCACCAAGGGAGAGAAGGGGCAGGAGAGGCTGGGGACCATCAGCAAGGTGCTTAGAGATGCATTAGGTCGGGGTGGACATAATGTGTAGAGCAGGTGGCTGGATACGCAAGGGCTGGAGGTCAAGGAGAGTCCTAACCATAGGTGGATTTGGGAGCCACCATCAGGCAGATGGTAGGTAATGACATCACTGTCCTGGAGAACTGGGTAGAAAAGATGAGAGGTCTAAGGACGGATTGTTGGGGCACAACAAAATTCACAGACAAGGGAGATGAAAAGGAACCAGCAGGAGAAGCCAAGACAGTTCATGAACTTAGATATGGAAAAAGAGTTTCAGCAAGGTTATGAAGGTGGAATTAAGGAGAAAAGCAACAGATGCCACATCAAGAGCTCTAGTACTGCTAAGATGAGGGGCTTCGGGAAGAAAGACATCAGAGGAGGGATGCCATCGTCTGGCTAAAGTGAGAGACTCTAGGAAGAATGACATTGGAAGGCAGGGCCGTCACCTGTGACCACTTCATGCCAACTACACAAGAGTAAAGGAAGGGACCAGAGTGTGTCCAGCATCTCCAGCCGCTGAGGGCACAGGCATGCCCTGCATCCTCAGCAACAATGACCCCAGGCCAGAAAAACCAGCCTTGGGACAGCCTGGAAACCAGTGCAACTCAGAACTGTGTCCTCAATAACTAGAGACACTGAGTGCCAATTCCTGGGGGAAGAACAAAATAAGCAGTTTGCATACGCAGTGCCCCCCAAAGAATGTGTCTGAAGCCCTGTGACTCCAGGTCAGCATACTGTAAGGACGACGCTCGTTTAATTTGTTTATATCACTTGTAATGTCATCACACAGGAAGCAGAAGCTTCATGGTTATCTATACAGTTTTTCTGAGATAGGGTCTTGCTCTGTTACCCAGGTTGGAGTGCAGTGGTGGGATCATAACTCACTACAGCCTCAAATTTCTGGGCTCAAACAATCCTCCTGCCTCAGCCTCCCAAAGTGGTGGGATTACAGGCATAAGGAACTGCACCTGGTTGACATGCTATTTTTAAAAAAATCAACCTTTGCACAATTGAAAATAAAATAGCCATTCAGGCAAAGGCGGAGGGTAGAGAACTAAAACTTCAAATTAGCCCCAAACCTAACATCCTGGGTTTCTTTATCACCCACTTCCCACACTAAGAAT